AGAGTAAGAGAGAGAGAGAGAGAGAGAGAGAGAGAGAGAGACATCAAACCCAAGATCCTTCAGTCCACAGACCAACAATATAACCACTGAGCAACACCAAACTGGGTGAGAGAAAAAATTTTAAACCCACCACCAAAGCCTGCTTGCTTAATACACTTCGGTTAAAAATTGCTCTTCAGCTAAAACAGCACATTAAAATGTTTCTGCCTGATAATCAGCTATTTTTTCCCAAGGAAAAGTTAATTACAAGAAGGTATAAGCACTTTCCCAATTCGACTGTTTTAAAATTCTCCCAAACCTCAGTGCTAAACACACTGCAGATCACACTGTGCACCCCCAGCTCAACAGCTATGTCCTCTACCTCCTCCCACTCCACCATCCACATACTTTGCCATCACCAACAGCCACCACTCCCAGTAGCACCTGGCTGTGCCCAGGATGACAAGAAAGGTTTGTGTTCCATCCAGTAAAACAGTCTTTCCCCCAGGAAAGCTCACTTTGGTCTTTTAAAATGTACAGTGACCCGTAAGTATATAATTTTGGTTATTGATATGTTGCTTTTAAATATACTTTTACTTACTTCAGAGAGGAAGGGGAAAGGAGAGAGAAACATCAATGATGAGAGAGAATCATTGATCAGCTGCCTCCTGCACACCCTCCACTGGGGATCAAGCCCACAATCCGGGCATATGCCCTGACCAGGAATCCAGTCGCAACCTCCTGGTTCATAGGTGGACGCTCAACCACTGAGCCACACCAGATTGACCTCTGTTAACTAAGATTGAGTTTGCCCGTGAGCTGTGATCATTATGGCTGTGGGCCTGGAGGCTGTGGGCAGTGAGCCCACAGAGCAGCTGGTGGTGGCTTTGGGAAGTGCTTGGTAATGGTGTCACTGGGAGACAGGCGAGCCCAGCGTGTTCTAGGAACACCGTGTGCTCCCAGGACTCCTCAGTCTACAAAGCCCTAGGGTATGTATCCCAGCCGTTCTCTGCTGGGTGACTCACTAAGTGACCAGGAGCCTTAGCTCACTGCTAAATTCAGCCCCTCCGCAGGTCAGAAAAGTTGCAGCTGAGCTCATGCACATACATATATCTTGACCCAAAAACCTTTCGGTAGGAGACAGACCTCTGCCTAGCAAAGCTTCACCTGTTCCTTTGGGGTTTCTTGCTCATCTTATTTCCTAAAATATGATATGGCTGACTCAGTTGTCCCAACATCTTCCAAAAATAAGTGCCATTTCAAATAAGCCATTTAAATAAATTACCATTTACAACACCAGTGGGTGGATATCAGATCTTGCACTGATATTACACAGGAAACTTGAGAATGACTTTTTAAAGTATTTTTTAATTACGCAAGCAACAGATGCATATTGTCAAAAAAATAGAGAATATATATGAACAAAAAGAAGAAACAGAATCACTGAGAGTCCCATTTTTAGGTAAAGATTACACTTGGAAACATATCCCTCTGGAGTATTTTTCTGCTCATGCATAGAAGTGTGTGTGTGTCTCTGTGTGTGTATGTGTGCATGCACACATGCGCACACGCGTAATATGCAGGCAAAAGTGGGATCATACTGGACATATTATTGTATAACCTCTATTTAGTACTGAGTCAGGACTCTGAAATAAAGTGAATAAGTCATGTTTTCAAGTCAATTTTACAATAGGTTTATAAAGGAGTGAGGGAAAGTTGAAGTCAACCCCCAGGACTCATGAAAATGCAATTAATTTAAAACCAAGAGACAAAAATTACAGAATTACCACTAATAATGTTGCAATCTGAGGAAATGGTAGAGGAAGGAAAGGCGAGACAAGGAGAAAAAAAGAAAATATTTATTATCTCCATACCATAAACCATCACATGCATGAGGCATTTACGTATAGCTACAGAGTGGCTAACGGAAGAGAGATGTTAAATTGAGAAATATGTGAACCACAAAGCAGTTGGGTGCAAGATCCAAACCATCCTGGGGGTTAGCAAAGTGCACTAAGCTTAGAGTTCAAACAGAGAGAAGAGGGTAACCAGTGAGAGTTCCGCTTACATCCTTCTCCCCTGTGTGCACACACATACATGTAGAGCCACCCCAACAGGAGATGACAGTAATGTAAGAAAAATTCAGTAATGTAAGAAAAAAATTCTAGGTCCCAGGAGGTTAAATTATAGTAAGATCTTCCTACTCGTTAATTACTCCCAACTTACATAGACGAGGAAACCCACCATCAATCCACCCTATAGCACAAGCTCTAGGGAGAGGAGTCCCTCTCTCTGATCTTGCCTTTCTCCATTGTCTGACATGTCTGCACATCATTCACAGCCTGCGGAGTACCTCTGGTGAGTCTGGAAGTTTCAACAGTAAAATGCTTTATGGAGCCTTAGGTCATGGAACTACATTTTGCAGAACCTTTAGAATATAAGGCGAGGCATTGAAGCACCATCACTTTGGGCACGTTCACTGGACTCATCTTGGTGGCTGCAGCTTTCTGTGTGGATCTATTGAGAAGCTATCCAAAGCTTCTTATGTCTCCATAGGCCCCAGGGGTTTGGGATTATTCTTTTGTTAACCCTCAGGACTCTAGGTCCCCAGGTTTTGCAAGGGCTGCTTCCATGATGGGTACACTGTCTATGAGAGATACAGCCCATTTCCGTTATAATTGCGCAACTTGACAGGATGACTGAGGGGACATCAAAGAAACAGAAAGGGGTACCTAGATCTCTTCAGATAATGCCTCAGGCCCCCAACGCCTGAGATCTCTAGTTAGCACCTCGTCCACAACACCAGGCTATTTGATCCACTTTGTTTCACCATATTTCTCAATCACTTGCTTCAAGAAGTCATCTCAAATGCAAGCAGAAGAGCCTTCAAAGGAATTGTCAGCAGTCTGCTAGTTTCCATTCCACAAGGGACAGAGGATGGCATTGAAACATTCAATCAACTGCATTTGTCACTGTGTATATGTGATATACATATACATACACATATACACATACATATATATATATATATGTGTATATATACACATACATATATGTAGGGTGGGCCAGTGGTTGGCAAACTCATTAGTCAATAGAGCCAAATATCAACAGTACAACGATTGAAATTTCTTTTGAGAGCCAAATTTTTTAAACTTAAACTATATAGGTAGGTACATTGTTATTAACTTAATTAGGGTACTCCTAAGCTGGCCTTTGCTAAAAACGTCCTCAATCTGATTGAGGTATGTTCGCTGAGGTCAACCCCTTACAACTCTCCCATCCACGCTCGTCTTGTATACTTGTTTCGTCTATCTCCTTTTGTTCATCCTCTCTATATGTCCAAACCATCTCAACATACCTTTCTCAATCCTCGACACTACATCTTCTTTCACTCCACAATGTTCCCTAAAATTAACTTAATAAACTTTACTTAAAGTTTTAAGTCTTAGTTAAACTATAGGTACGTTGAATAAAACTTGATATCATACTTAATAACGATATTATTTGTTGATAAAATTAAATACCTTACAATATTCATAAAATTAAATCATGACAATGACAAACACTAATATGAACAATGGCCTTGCATCTCCTTGGAAAGTTTGGGTAAGTCAGGTTTGTATGTTGTTGTTTTTAATTTTAGGCATGATTCCAGGTTCTCATCAATAAGACGACTTCTCAATTTACTCTTGATAAGGCTCATGCTTGAAAATGATTGTTCGCATAAATATGTAGACCCGAATAAGGAAAGAACAGCAAACGCTAGCTTTTTCAGTTGATCATATGAGTCAGGAATACTATACCAGGTGTTAAAAAATCAATATATCTTCCTTCTCCACGTCTTT